CAGCCGGCGGCCCTTGAGGCTCTTGGCAACTTTGTTTTGAAACACATCTTTGCCCTCCACGGGTCTTGATCACTGTTTCAGGTTCTAGGGTCCTCTCCCGCACTGGTCAAGGCACCGCGTCAGCGATGCTTTCACTGTGACGCCACCAAAAGCAAGCGGCGACATACGAGCGGAGCCATTTGCGCAACTCATAGCTCACGAAGTACATGAGGCCCACTTGCAGCACTGAGTCCAGCCAGTTATGATCCCACATCCCAGCAGTTTCAACAATGAAAAAGAGTGTGCCACAGCGAACTTAAGAAAAGACAGCTACCATCTGCTCGAGGCGTGAAGCAAGAAGATCCCAGCCGAATCTGCGAACCATGACGTTCCCGCTAGCACTGATGCCTGCACAAACGAGCCTTTCTTCGACAAAGTGGTCATCTGCACCGCATGTCTTGCATTTGCCAAGAGCTGCACCAGTCAGGTGTCTGGTGTAGTCGCTCATCACTGCTCCAGTTGCCTTAAAAGGAAGCCAAGAATTCCTCATTGTTGCGCTTTACTACGTACTGCCCGCACAGTGGCCTCGTGATACTCAAGGACATTCTCGCCCCTAAGTTCATGGCGAGTGGCCTGCTTCAGCTGCTCGTAGTGAACTCGCCTCCAGCTCTCGCGAAGGGCATGCCAGTGCGCCTTGTTGAGGATTTTCAAGTCAAGCTCTCCGAGGTGTTCATGGCTCCATCGCAGGCTCTGAGGATAATCCGTGTCCCACCCAAGACGCAGCATGATATGCGTGACCATGCTTTCAAGGTTCGTCGTGGTGTGACCAGGCACAAGGCGAACCCTCTTGGCCAAATTCAATGTACGCCACGCTAACGTAGACTCCCACTGCCTTGTTGCTCCAGCGATCACAGACCTAAGAGGCTTCACAGCATAGCCAGTTCTCCCAGAAGCCTTCCAAATAAGCTTATCGAAATCGTCAAAGAGAACCTTATCTGGCAAAGTAGCCACGTGTCCGTAGTTGAGCTTGCTCAGCGCAAAGACATTGATGTCCTGTAGCCGTTCCCACAGATTGCGTGGCAGATAAGAGCAGCGCTTTATTATGCTCCTAGCCGCCTGTTGTCGCTGCTCAGTCTTGGGACAGCTAGTGGCCCGGCCAATGTAAGCACCCAGAATCTCCACACAAAAAAAATCGATCCGTGAGGTGCCCAAACTGTGCTTTGCCCCGATGCTCCAGCAAATGAAAATGAGAGGACCAGGAAATAAAGCTGGTCATAGATTTATTCTGGAAGCAGCTTCCGCGGCAGACACCAAAGAACCCCACGAAGGGGCATGTCCTCATTCTCAACACCAACGAAGTAGCCATGGCAAGTGGCTGGGCTCTCAAGCGCATGACGTCCAAGGGTGCCTGTCGGGCAAAAACGTGCCTAACCTAGACCACAACCAACCAGCAACCAACCACAAACACCCCGGCCGATAGCCGGCTCTTGACGGCCCCTGAGGCTCTTGGCAACTTTGTTTCTTAAACACATTTTTGCCCTCCGAGGGTCCTCTTGCAGGTTCTAGGGTCTTCTCCCGCACTGGTCAAGGCACTGCGTCAGCGGTGCTTGCACTGTGACCTCATGGTGCATGCCCAACATGTAGCCCAAGTTGAAGCTTTGCCGCTCCAATACTGTAGTGCCAAGGCCCCAACGCCACCAGAAGCCAGCGGCGACATACGAGCTGTGCCATATGTGCAACGCTCAACTCACAGTTCACAAGGTTCATGATGCCCACTTGCAGCACTGAGTCCAGCCGCCCACTTGCAGCACTGAGTCCAGCCAGCTGTGATCCCACGTCCAAGCAACTACAACTTAGAAAGAGAGCGTGCCGCAGCGAACTTAAGACTTAAGACACCGCAGCTACCATCTGCTCGAGGCGTGATGCATGTAGATCCCACCCGAATCTGCGAACCATGACGTTCCCGCTAGGGCTGAGGCCTGCACAAACGAGGGTTTCTTCGAAAAAGTGGTCTTTGCGCCGCATGTCTTGCTTTTGCGAAGAGCTGCACCAGTCAAGTGTCTGGTGTAGTCGCTCATCACTACTCCAGTTGCCAGAAGGGCATGCCAGTGCGCTTTGTTAAGGACGTTCAAGTCAAGCTCTCCGAGACTCCGAGGTGCTCATGGTTCCATCACAGGCTGTGGGGATCGTCCGTGTCCCACCCAAGACCATGCTTTCAAGGTTCGTCGAAAAAGAACCAGGCACAAGAAGCTTTTGAACTTCCGACCGGACCCTCTTGGCCGCCAAACTCAATGTAGCGTGGCGAAGGAGATTGATCCACCTCCAAAGCCCGTCGTGAGAACCCTCCATCTTGCGCTTCCAGGTACTGAAGGCATGTGGCTCTTACGGCATTTTGTTGAAGCAACGTCTGAGGTCCCTCCACTGCCTCGGAAACGGCACACTGGGGATGGAGTAGCTACGTTCGAGACACGTTGGTATCTGTCAAGGGGTGGAACAGATAGGGGGGTGGCCGTATGTATATTACTATATAGTAGATATATATATATATATAATGATGCTACCCCCCCCCCCTCATGTACCCACGCTTTGTGCTTGAATTGTGCGGGATCATCGTCGTGGCCCTACAAACCTTTCCAATCTCCACTGTTCTTGGTTATATACAAAGTACACGAAAGTACTAATATGTTCTTCTAAGCCAGCACCAAGTGTAGTTTCACTGTTACATTTACCAATGATGCTCTTCCTGTGACCAGTGTTTTTACTACTATGGTGATACTCACCGTTCTGATTGCTTCAATAATACCAACCCAGCTAACACTCTTTATTTCCCCCTGTCTTACTTTCTCTTAATAAAACTTTTCTAAATACATAACCCAGCTAACACTCTGTATTCCCCCCTTCCTTAGTATGTCTGAAAAAAAACTTTCCTAGGTGCGCTAGTCCCGTGGCTACTATTCACAGTGTTTCATACTAGCCCGACCTGTAAAAGTACATGTATTAGTTGTTGAATCCTACGTTTATTCACATTTTGATAAAGTATAAGCCTACGAGCTACTACTTTTCGAATTTTGCACCTTTGCTTGCACGATTTGCCAACATACACAAACACTCTCAATAGAATTATGGCTCATTCTGCTGACATATTTGTTCTTAAAGCCAACTGAAAGAGGCGAAGACCGAAGATAATTCAATATGTTTTGGCTGTGTATTGAACTTTCTAATGTTGACTTCCTATCTATAATCCCCCCTCAGTTACAAAACCCCACCCCCGGAACTCAACTATAAACCCCCCCTCACTTACGAAACCCCCAGCGGGGAACCCAAAACAAACATGGCTACTTCTTGTGCCTTTGGAGGCCAGGAAAAGGACCGCAAGCTTTAGAAACCAAGCGCCGACGGACCCCCCTCAATAGTCGATCCCCCCACCCGGGGCCAGCAAACAATAAAGGGGGGGGGTGTTAATAGGAAGTCAACATTACTCCATTCTACTCCTCTTTGGTTAAGCTATATTCTTATTGGTGCTGCTTAAATAAGTTTGTTGTTCTCGCTGTCTTGTATTGATATCAGCTGTAAGCTTTACATGTTTATTGGGAGTTTAGGTAATCTTCAGCGTATGCATCGTTTGAACCATGTCCATCCTATCGAGCTGGGGTTTGTCTGTTCTTACAGAGTCGCTTACAAGTTTCGGACCTAATACATGATGACCAACAAGGACTCCTCTATGTCAGAGTTTTGTGGTGACTGTACTGGGTAGTGCTCTTTGCTGTAAGCACCACGTACTGAAATGAAAGTGCACCAACTAGAAACACCCCCATGCAAGCATGAAGCAACGCACGTTATACATGTACCTTTAGAAAGGTGTAAGCGAAGCCAATACATCTTCCATACAACACTAAATTACCCTTAGTACAGATTGCAGTCGTAGACAAAAGTAGACGATACGTATAGTTCTGTACACGGAAACGGACGACGACGATCAATGAAGTGGTCTTCTTAAAGTAAGGTCTTCAGGCAGAGATTCATGCCTAGCCTTGTACAGCATGAAAGGATTGATCTCATGAACATGTTCGCAAAACATGCAGCAACTTATATGCATATGTAATCACATCGCAAGATCACATATGTCATATGTGTGCCCAACAATTGCATCCGCCCAATCCGTCAAACTATAAAACTAGTGGTCAGGCCGACTAAATTTCGTCAACATTTTTGCACATGTCAAGAGGGTATTAACAGCTCTATCAAGATGAGATTCAGTTTTCCTAATTGTACGATGCCGCTGGAATGGAAGTGCTGTGCTAGTCTACATGTCTAAACAGTAACACAGAAATGACGGGATGAATCACGGCAATCACAGCTGCATGATAAGGTACATATTTTCTGACAGAGTCAGACACATAAAAAGCATTGCGGATATGTTACCTCGCAAAGCAGTACCGGTGTTAAGTTTCTGCAATGACCGCGCTATCTGTAGTTTCTTTACCTGTAGTATCTACAGAGCAGAAAACGACGACTATCCACAGAACAACGACAGGCTCGAAATACAAAATGCAACGGTCAAACCGCAAGGTTCGGAATTCAAACGTATTCAAACGTATTGTGTTGAATACGCCTCGGATCCAAGATTCAAGATTCAAGTTGCAGGGCAAAGTTCTCCCTGGCACCTTGAATCTTGAATCTTGGATCCGAGGCGTATTCAACAGAACACGTTTTGAATGCGTTTGAATACGCCCTATCTTGGTCCGCGGCGAAAGTGTTGACTTAAACATAAGGAAGAAACATACGATCTACAGGCCTTCCCCCGATCCCATTAACCCACGCCGTTCTGCAGCTCAGATTTCGGAGAAAGGCATGGGAACAAGGGCATCCCAAGAGCCCATCCCTTCCCAAAGCCGAGACTGAGAAGACAGGCGCGGGTGCATGGGGGGGCTACCATAATGATACATATATATATATATATATCTGCATGCATGCATGTACGTATGTGTGTATACATTCGCGTATAAGCGCAAACAAGTCACAGTGGGATATTGTGGTACTCGAACTCCTCAGGATTCTCGAATCGTCCGTTCCGGGGGCCGAGGATGACCGTGCCAGCGAGGCCGCAAACGCCTCCTGTGAAATGGACGACGCCTGATCCTGCGAAGTCGAATGGACTTCTATCTATCGCACATACGTCATAAAAAGTTGGCCCTCGCAACAGACGCCTTTCTGTCCAGGTACCGACTTACGGACAACCTGCAAGCTACCCACCCTTGGGGAACGGGCATAGGGAAAAGGGTGCAACAAACAAATGTGATCCTGCAAAGTCCATATATCCCACACCGAAGATGCTGGCGAGCCAGCCGCCGCCCCAGGTCCAAGCGACGATCACTGGGTAAATAAAGCTGGTCATGCAGAAGGCGAACACAGCATAGGTGGGACTCTTGACACGCTCCGCCACACATCCGCTCACGATGGTGGCACCTACGGTCAAACACGAATGCATGCTGGTCAATCTGGGGAAATGCATGAGAGCCTACGGTCACGTCTCGATAGAAGGACACAACGACAACTCAGGTTGGTGCCAGCTGTGCAGAAGGCCTAGGCTCTTCAGGAACCCATTGGGGAAAAGTATACTTGGCTACCAGAAAAGCTTTCCTGGCTACCGGTAATAATATAATATACTGCATGCTAGGAACCAAGAACAAAAAAGTATATCCCTGCATATCCTGGAGGCCCACTGAAAGAACCAGCTCAGCATGGTGGACTGGCAGTTCCCGTCGTCACATTCCACGGGGACGATATTGCCCGATGCATCCTTGTTGTAGAAACCGAGGCCGAAGAAGCCATCCGTGCCAATGAAAGACCCGGCTTGGGACCCATAAGCAAAGGCCCAGCCAAAGATCCACCAACCCAATGTGCCAACTGACACCTAGTTCATGGCTGGGATAGCATCAAAAATTTGTGTGCGTTTAGTTTTGTAATGGGTTTAAGTACCCATGAAAATCTAAAGTGTTACCGAACTATGACACGGACACATTGACTAGGTTCTTCATCAGGACGTTTGAGGCATTCTTAGCACGGCAGCAGCCAGTCTCCAACATGGCAAATCCTGCAGGGCATGTCTTTTTCTTGACCCCCTATGTCTTCTTTTTGACCCCCCTATCGTTTTATTGACCCCTGAACATCTGCATTCTGACCCCTCCTGCATGCATGAACATAACCAGCGCTCCACAAAGGACCAGCCACGCCGAGTCCATGGCGCCCGCCATACTCTCCTGAGTTTCGGCCATCTGCTTCAGCTCCTTGCGCTGCTCTTCCAACAATTCTCGTTGGGCCTGCAGCTCGCGAAGAAGCTCAGCAGGAGAGTCCTGCGACATCGCTGTCGCGGTGAAGGCGGCAACGAGAGCTGCTGCGAGGCAAACCTTCATCCTCACGAAATGCGGTGATCAGGACGCGCTTCTACCCTGAGTGCCACTACGAGCGAAAATCGCTGCAGCCGCAAGGATCGGCTCAGGGTTCAGGCTCGGCTGGACAAGGCAGACGACTCACGGTTCAGCCTTAGGAGGGGTGTCACAAGCACCCGACGAACCGTCAAACAACCGCACAGCCTGAACCTCAAAGAACCCTAAACTAAGCCCCGCACCGACACCCTAAAAATGAAAACCCCAAGAACCCAAAACTCCCAAACCTCTACCCTCAGCCCTGCATTCTGAGACGCACGGCCAGCCAACCTGCTTCACCTCGGCAGGCCGTCGATGCTAGGATTTAGGAGTTTCTAGAGAGTTACCGTAGAGGGTTGTAGGATGTACGGCTCTAATCTAGGCGTAGAGGGTTTAGGGTTTAGGAGTTTTGGGTTTGCGAGTTAAGAGAGTAGGGTTTAGGATTGGGGGCTACATAAGGCCGGCTTCTGAGAGAGGCCTGATGGGCTCCAAATTCAACGCTGGTTAGGTCTAAGCGGATCGGCCACTACCACTGCCACGCCACTACCTCTTCCGGCTACTACTACAGAACTATCACTATGACGATGACGATCACTATCACTACCACTACCACTACTACCACTACTACTACTACTACCACCACCACTACTACTACTACTACTACTACTACTACGACTACGACTACGACTACGACTACGACTACGACTACGACTACGACTACGACTACGACTACGACTACGACTACGACTACTACTACTACTACTACTACTACTACTACTACTACTACTACTACTCCTGCTGCAACCACCACCACCACCACCACCACCACCACTATCACTCCGACTCCCACTCCGACTGCAACTCCTACTTCTACTCCTACTCCTGCGACGACGACGACAACGACTACTGCTACTACTACTACTCCTCCTCCTACTCTTCCTCCTACTACTACCACTACTACTACTACTACTACTACTACTACTACTACTACTACTACTACTACTACTACTACTACTACTACTACTTCCATTACAGCATCTTCGGGGATTCAGCAAGCAACACGATCCTGACCTTTCGACCCAAAAACCGTAAGCGCTGAGACAGTCCAGACGGTCACAGAGCCCCGGGCTCGGGTCACGGAGAGCAGCACTCGCCAAGGGAGCCGTCGCTCTCGCTCCCTCGGATTTGGGATCTGTAGGGTTTAGGCTTTGGGCTTTCCGGTGTGGGGTTTAGGGTGCAGGGTGTTGGGTTCAAGGTTTAGGTTTGGGGTTTCAGGTTTAGGGCTTTGAAGCAGGAACTGGATTAGTGAGTGTCCAACCACACAAACGAGCACACTTTTTGGTCTGAGCCCAAGACGTCTGTCGTACAGGGTGCGTTCAGAACTAACACAAAAACTACGCTCGCATGAGGACATGTCAACACGGCGCTTCAAGACAGGGAAATTTCACACCCGTCTTATCTGTAGTGTGACGTCCGAATCATGCTCGAATTTGATCGCTTTGGACCAAACCTACTTCACCGGATTATACCGGGAGCTTGCGCAGTCAACCGAGCCGAGTACGGCGACTCAAGGCTCTAGGCTGAGTTCTTCAATCGCGAAGCGGAGTGCTTTCGGTACTCTCGGTATTCTGTGCGGCTTGCGCGGGCACATCGAGTACCTGAACGAGATTGCGATCAATGCTGTGATTGATCAAAAGCGGTTTCATACTCTTAGTGAGACAATCCGCAAGTTGTAAATGCGTCGGTATCCATCTCAACTCATCGCCACAGGGATGGTACAGGACGTGCGTTAGCTCGTCCTCTTCCCAAAGTCCTTGGCGAAGTCCAGACATCTCAATGGCGAGGCGTTTATCCTCGCAGGACTTTGGAATCGACGCTGTCAAGTGATCCGAAAGGGACCTGCAGTCCGTATACTGCAGGTGGAACATCGATCTCTTGGCGACTTCTTCCCAGTTCTGTGACCGGGGCAGTTTGCCGAGTACTTCGAGTACTGCTGCTCGAATGCGGTCTCCATGCTCTATGGCGTGTTGCAACGAGTAAGCCTCACACTGCAGTGTGGCGCGACAAACCCGTTTCATGGTGGACGAGGAGAACGAAATGAGGTGCATCTCATGCGTTGGCGCGTTCTTGTCCACCGCCGACTGTGCGGAAGTGAGATAGTGGAAACGGCCTCTCTGCGACTTATGGTTCGCCTCTCCTGCAAAGGAGGCGTCGCAAAACGTGACGACCGCCAGCTCCCCTGTATTCCAGGGTAACTTAGCGCTGTACGTGATCGGCCTATCCGCATCTCCTAACGCCAGTGCTACCACGCGGTTTGCTTCACGGAGCGTATCCACCGTGGCTGTCGTAACACGCTGCTGCAGGGCATTCACCCTATAGGCAAGATCAGGTCTCGTGGCGCGGGCCACCCAAGCCAGCGATCCTATAACGGATCTCAGCGCTGTGCGCTGGCCATTCGAGACTGGAGTCGTGCCCTTTTCGGATTTATGTATATCGATCGGGCGAATTGCACGCGTGTTGTCCCTACAGTTTATACTGATGGTCCCATCGGCGCTTTGCACATACTCGCGTCCGCAGAAACGGAACTTCTCAGTCTCTATGCGACCGATCTTAAACTTATCCAGCAGATTCTGGATAGCCGGCTCGCCTTCGGCGGTAGCAGCCCACAGGAAATCATCCACGTGGGTGCACAAGCAAGCGCACAAACGACCACCTTCTCCTGTAATATAGTACAGGGCTGACAGAATTTGCGAGGCATTTAAGCCAAATTCTCGGCAACTCTCCTTTATACGGAGGTAAAGGTTCCGACCCGCGTCGGTGGTGCCGTACACGGGTACTCGGGCAATCATATACCCGGCTCGCTGAATCTCTGCATCGGGCACACCCTTAGGGTGTTTGGGAACCCGAAGAATGAGGAGGCGCTCAAGGGGTTTCCCTTGGAAGTATGCGTTCGTTATATCGGCTGCTTTGAGCCGCAGGGCCAACGAAACCGCCCATGAACACAGAAGGGCTATACCTTCCGGCTCGGCCGTGGGGCTGTCTGCCCTGATATCCTCCTCATTCGAGATATGCTCGAAGTTTCCACATGCGACCAAGCGTGCTTTCCACTTGGGAGTGTATGCTGCTGTCCCCTTTAGGTGTTCATTCTTATCGGTAAGAACCCATTTGGTGGGGATACACACGTGGCCAGCCTTTGTAAGCTCCTTTAACTCCTTGTCTGTGCAAGGGACCACTGCGTTGAATTCAGTGTACTTCTGCCATTCAGTCTTCATGGCAGCATCCAGCCCCAGCTGTACCTCTACAGGGGCCTTATGGTAATCCAGGAGCGAGGCCATATAGCCAACATCGACGTTAGAGCCGAAGGCGTCTTCCCCATCAGGGGTGAGAGCAAAGGCCTTGGATTCCGCCTCTCGACTATCCGAGGGCTCAACTGCTGGCACTGTCGTGCCAATCGCAGCTGTGTGCGATGCTGCTGCCAGTCCGTCGTCTTCCTCAGGAATGTGGTGACACGGATGGGCTTCTGGCAGTCCGTTAGCACGTATGTGCTCCGCAAGTTTCGAATGCTCGAGCCATATGTGCTGGGCGATATTTCGCCGATGGCATCGCCGCCAACTGGCCTCCGAACACAACAGAAGTATTCGGTGAAAGTCATCGTGAGCCTCGCTAACTATTCTAGCGATCGTCACAGAGCCCTTGGTCTGTTTGCAGGTTGGCTTCAATCCCGCCCCGATTCCTGTTGCCTAACTCGGGGGCGTGACTGTACACAACCCCTTTTGCAAAGCATGTGGCAGAAAGCTCATCACAATTGTATTGTGGATGCCGAACGCTGTACGGGTGGCTTCTGCAATCTACGATTTCCTTAATCCCGTACTCGTGGATGCGCTCTAGGAACGTCTCGATGGGAAGATCAGAGTGACCCATGGTGTATATCCCATCGCCTTTCCTGCCAAAGGTGTTGGGCGCATCCCTATATATGGGGTAGCCTAGATCCGACAAAAGCTGTATGTCATCTTTAGACAACTTACCGAGGTCACTCACCGTGTATGCGGAGAGACTGTATCTTTCTCCTACAAACGGTGCGACCATGTGCACGTCCTTCGGGCGAAACTTAAGAACCTTGTTCTTAGTATCATGGACGGTGCCATACATTGTCGTGTTTTGAACACGCACGGGGTTGTACCCGTGGCTTCTTCCACCCATAGGCCGCCTCCACGATACTCGCCCACACCTATAGTGTAGTTATACGAGCCAGGAGTGTTCGCTAGGTCTCTATGGGCCTCTGCGCCTCTGTTGGTAAGCTGAACGCTACTCCACTGTGGAAGATGGTGTCCGGCTTGCATACTGTGATGCAAGAGGTAGTGGTTGAGGTACATGGCGAACGACGGTCTCTCGCGCGTTGGTCCAGAGACACCAACAAGACCACCGTGCCGATATACTCCCACCGCGAGGGCTATGCTCCCGGGATCTCCATCATCTAGGAGCGGGCGCGTGTACGCCTCGCGTCGGTCGCGGTCATAAGCGCGAAGGAGGGCCAGACACTCATCTGGGGAAAAACCCTGAGCATCTATCAGGCCTTTTGCCATGATCTCTACTTGATCAATCTCTTCCGCAACTAGTGCGTCATCACGGCCTCCTACTGGCGATCGCGACCGGGCGGTTTCGCCCGTCTTATCTTTGGCGCGAAACCTTGCAGGGGTAGATGGCGCTGGCATCGGTGTGCCGGGCATCATCGCTGGCGTCGATGGTGCTGGCATAGGCACATCGTGCGCGACTGCCGGTGTAAGCGGGGCAGCTGCAGCCACTGGACGTGGCGTCGCTGGTGCTGTGACCGGATCCGCTACGCGCTCATCCTGGAACCTTTGTTCCGGCCCATGTACGATGGCTTCCGGAAGCACTGGTTCACCTGCCAAAACGCGGTGCGCTGCAACTTCGATTTCATCAGCTGGGCGCATCTTCCTAGCGTTCACAAGTACAGGGATATTCTCGTG